ATAAACATTAAAAAATCAAGTAAATAAACTTCAACTTCACCTTGAAGCATGTGGCTACCGTGATACTTTTTGTTAATAAATGATTGACACAGTGTATGTAAATGATTACATATTAGTATATATCAATATTTGATTTCAAAGTCATTTGGTCAAAGAAATCAATTTTGTCAATATGTAGCACATTTGTGCTTGTTCAAATTGTTTTATGACCTTGACTTGTAGACTCATTTTGATTTCTAAAAGGTTTTTATAATGCGCTTGACGTAATTTTATGTTAACACATATCTTCATTTTTTCAAAGCAAATAAAAGTTTATTTTTTATCAAGATTATTATAAAAAAACATTAAATTACCTTCTTAGAAGTTGCAAAACGATTTTAACTCTGCATAATGAAGAGTATTAATTCCATAAAACTGTGCTGTGAAGAAATTAATTTTCACTGTTGTTTAATGTATTCAGAATGATCAACCTTTATTTTTTAACTAGAATTAACAAACAGAAATTACACAAATTATCACTGATTAAAGCTTTCATTGACAATTTACACTAAGCAAAACTGCAAAAATGTAACAGTTATTCCCAATGAATTTGCCAATCATTCTTCATACAGTGACTGGCATTTTCAAAGTCTTGATGTCATTACGAGACCTTGTTTTTCGTAACTACATTGTATCGTCAAATCGAGAATAAAATAGATAACACAATTATTGACAAAATCTGTAAAATGCTGTTGAATAAAATGGTTTTGATCTTTTTCATACTGTAAAACATGCCTTTCCTCTTCTTTAATTGTTCTTCAATCTCGCTTTCGGGAATATCATCCGATGTTTTCTTTTGATTCCCGTGCTTTGCCCGATATCCACCCTCACAAATCCCGCTGTGATTTTCCGAATCTTTTGTCTCCTGCTGATACATGTTTGACCTTGATATCACTGAAATCACAGTCGTAACAACACAGAGAAACAACTGAAAACAGACATAGAGAGAAAGATAAGGTACATCTAAGGAACTTTGAGGCATCGTTTGTTCAAATAATGTCAGAAAGACGGTAAAAGCGACTGAGAGGGTCAACGAATACTGGATTCTCTCTCCTGACTCAAGTGGAATAAGAGGCGTTATAGAATTCAGAACAGCTAGTGCCATGATGGGCATAAGAGTACTAAATACAAAGTATATATATCGTCGTTTTAGGTGTAGTTCGTAATATATCAGTGTCGAGTCATACTCAACCAAATAAACTACACTGTATGAAAAATGCGTGAATTTCCATTCTCCATTAGGAGTTATATAATCTATGTTATCACCTGGAAGTTGATCCGGGTTAAGTTTTTGCATGTAGTCAGTCGTTATCCAAGAAGAGAGTATAAAAATACATGTCTGGTTATCAAAAGGAAATTTCTTCATCTTAAGATCACAAGACAACACGAATTTCCCCCCTGGATTCCAATCCATGTTGCCGTTGGATGAAACTGTAACGACGGAATTGTATTTAAGGGAGTTCAAGTTTTCCTCAACATAATAAAGATACAGTTCAGGGATCCAAACTTTTTGTTGAGGTACCATGATCTTCTTAATTCCAGAATGATCAGTTTCACTCCAAGTCAGAAATTCGTCAATCCAACGAACCCGGAACCAAGCAGTGAAAGATATATATTGCATATGTCCATGTACCTCGTGAATAGTGTTCAAATTCATTTGAACACTTACATGAACTGTTTCGCTTTGATTGCGTCTTGGTTTTAATATTTTACTATAGTTCTCGAAAAGATTTCGCTCAAAGTTGGATTCACATAGACAAAAGTATATCTTCAGAAAAACGATTTTGAAAAATAACACTTTCATTTCGATATCCACAGTAGCCTTATAAATGCTGCAGGTCCTTTAGGAAATTATTTAGATTTAATGCAGTTTGAATTATTGACCCAAAAAGTTGGAATCATTTACGAGCAAATGGTCAATGATTTCTACATGATAGCAGATGAATCATAATTGCTGATTAAAGCCTTTTCAGTGCATTTGATTCTAAATTCAACAAAAAGCTATCTACAAATTGTTCCATCCACTTTTAACTGTTTAATCTGCAGAGAGAACTGTTTAATCTGCAGAGGGAACACCATTAGCGTTGCATTGTAATGCACTATAAATTTTCTGTTAACAGTGACAAGGATCTGTTAAAATAAACACGGACTATAAAACTGTAAAGCATCATTTCTAAATATTAGAAATTCACCCAAATGACAGAGAAGTCCAAAAACATTTACCACGTAATTCTAAATGTACTGAAGATATTAACTCTGATTTTCTTCTTAATACAATCGTGTACAAGGTTACTGTCGCACTTTTTATTATTAGATTTCCGGTATTTTATGCATTGTACATTTGCCATTAGGATTTATGAATAATTGAAAGTTGATGTAGATCATGGACATTGTGTATAATAATAACCGTCAATGTGATGTAATTTGGTAAATCATTCTCATTGTATAGTTAATATAAAACATACATAAATATCATAGTTCTCTATGGTGCAGTGATTTGTGCGATCCTCCAAATGAGACTGTTAAAAAAACGAAGTCTCGTGTTAAAGTAAGTGCTGGCACAAAGAGATGCATCACAACACATATAAATGCTCTGAGTGTCGAGAAAAGCAATTTGCAGCCCTTTATCAGCATGAAATGGCGCCTTAATATGATTTAATAAATTCACCAACCAAACAACAAACATAACTTATTTTTGACTTATTAAAGTCAATAAACACCTTTGCAATGTTTTATGTATGTAATGAAAACATTTATAGCTGTATCTATTGAAAAATTCACACCTGCAGCTATCATTTCCTAAGGATCATAATGATGATTTTCAAAAAGATTATATTATATGTAATCTAATAATTCCCACCAGTGGAACATTATTCAGAAATTTGATATTCGAGGAATAATTGACTACTATTTTTTGTAGAAGTGAATCGAGACACTTTAACCTTGAAGTATGTGACCGGTTAACCGGAACGTTCTGTTAATAGATAAAGTAAACAGTACATGTACATGTATATAAATGATTGCATACCTGTTTCTGAACAATATTTGATTTCAAAGTCACTAGGTCAAAGAAATCAATTCATTATTGCGTAGACACTTTAACCTTGAAGTATGTGACAGGTTAACCTGAACGTTAAGTTAATAGATAAAGTAAACAGTACATGTATATAAATGATTGCATACTTGTTTCTGAACAATATTTGATTTCAAAGTCACTATTTCAAAGAATTCAATTTATCAATGTGTAGCATGTTAACATTTATTCTAATTGTTTTATGTCTATGTAGACCCATTTTGATTTTATTAAGGCGTTAAACACCCCTTTGACGTCATTTTTTTTCAAGACAAATATCATTTATTTAAAATAAAGATATACATTTACGAGGGTTGATCCAAAAGTTCGTGGAATTTCTTAATATTTCATTCATTTATATGTGAAATTGGTTGAAAATTACAAATGAGAATAAAGACACTTGTTGAATATTTTAGATTAAAAAATATTTTAAATATTTGCGATAGTAACTCTATGGCAGTTGCCATAGAAACGGATGTTTGGAAATGCGGGGGAGACATCAACGCGCTTATTATCATTTTAATTCTTAATACTTGAAATGAGAATTAAACCGATCTTTGTGGTACAGAAAACGAAAATTATGTCATTATTACGATTGCTTGATCTTTTATAAACATCTGTGTGTGTATTTTACTGATTTTACTGGATATTTTGTTTATTAGTTAATAATTTATTGATCATCTTAAGGTTGTTAGACGACGTCAAATTTCGGTTAAGTCATAAGTTTTGTGAAAATCCCGGGATCACTCTATCTTAAATGCGTATATTATTGACATAGACTGAGAAAAAATGCATTTAGCCACTGGTTTTCCAGTGCCGTAAGAAAATGAAGAAAAATAGAACCTTCATGGACGTTGATTAAAGGTGTGGTCGCCTTTTTGAGGCTCTGTTTTAAGTGTTGTCCCCCTTGATAAATTGAAAGCGTTAATAGACGTTGTCGGCTGACGTACTGTTCTTGATATTGATACTGAAATCGGAACATCATATGGAAAGATGGGGGGTATTTTGAAATATGAGTAAAAAATGAAGATAAATTGGTGCGAGAGCATACCCAGGCTTTTCTTGAGAAAAAAAATGGAGGAAAGGGCAGCATTTTGAAGAATTACGTGTTCGAATTTGATATTAGGGTGAGATGATTCTTTAACGTGACGTGGCACACCTAACTTGACGTTAGTTGCACGTTTGCTTTTGTCAAATCATGATAAAATTTTAGAAAGAAATTCCACGAACTTTTGGATCGAAGTCTAGGCTAGAATAAAACCCCCGGGTTTCACAACCATCCGTTTATCTACTTGCACTGTATTTTTCGATATATGGAGTTTGTGATTACCGGTGGGGGTCCATGAGGTAACAACAGAATCAGCTTTCGATAAATCACAATCATATCGCATAATAATCACCAAGTCCTTAGGTGTCCATGCTCAATTCAACCAACTCACAGTTTTCCAAATCTCGAAATGTCCTGTGGTAAATGGAAATCGTTTTTATTGATATTTTTACTGCAACATTTTTTCACTGAAAGAAATAACAACTGAATAATATTTGAAGTGATTTACAAGTTTCTCTACAAAACATTCTGGACACAATATACTGACTGCATAAGCATGCTTTTCTAGGGAATCTGCTGCACAGCCTGTCTGTGTGTGTGTTCGGGGGGGGGGGGGTGAATGTTAAAGATGTAGATAAATTATAAAGTAAAAGTATTTGCTTTTACAGTGTACACAACTCAATTATCTCAATACAAATACGTTAACATTAATTAATATGAACCATAAACATATTTTTTGAAACAAATCTCTTCATAAAAATAAATTTCAAAGCAGTTTGTGCACATTACACATTCAGAACATACATCTTTTTCATCAACCTTTATAATGCTCATAAATTACATCATGATCAGACAAGACAATGCAAAATATTTTATCACCATTTGTTATATCTATGTATAGTTTTTATCAGCTTGCCAATCAGTGGTTACATATATTTCAGGGTCCATTTCTTATTTGTTGAATAAGTAATGGTAAGTCACTCAATATGATTACCAAACTAACAGAAATAATGAAAAGAACACCAAATACACTTCCAATGAATATGGAGGAAATTCGGTTGTCCGGGGCAGAATTTTTCTTCCGGATATAACTGGAAAGTTCAACAATGTTCACTTCAAGTTGTTTTTTTAGTATTTGTATTTTTATCTTCAATACTTCTGTATTATTCAAATACACAGTCCCAGGGCAAGGACATTGGCAACCTAAATGAACAAAGGCAAGATTAGTTTTACAAATGAATTTCTAATATTATTCATATTTAACAACTGTATAATTATAATGATCAATAGGAAGCGAGTTCAAAGATAAGAAACGAGATGCCTGTTCAAACGGCATAAATATATATAATAGTAATATTGATCTTTTGATTAAAAAACTACTATTCTTCATTTTTTTCATATGCGTTTCTTTTTCCCAATGTTTCAATATTTTGGTCCCAAACAACTTCGATAGAGTCCTCGTTCCCTTTTGGAAGGCGGTGAGTTCGAATCTCAGCTGCGGCTGACCTAATTCGATTTTTAAAAAAGTCGTTGGCAACTATTCTTTCATTAGGCATCCGCACTTTAAACTGAAAATTGCAGATATTTCGGATGAGATGATAAAAACGGAGGCTTCGTGTCAGTCACTGCTCGCTTAATGGCCCTTAGTGCCAAATAAAGGTCAATCTCTTAAGATTTTCACTAATGTGTGGTGAAATGACTATTTGAGTGAAAATATCTCGAATTAGACGAACGACAACAAACAATCAAACAAACAATCTTGGAATGAAAATTAAGACACATTTCATGGGAAGTAAGAGTACATATGGGAGTTCGCGGGGTAATATCAGATAACGTCAGGGGACATATAGGTAAATGGTAAAAGGACAAAGTCATGAAACAATGTACATCAGGTAATGGACGGGGTAGTCAGAGACAAAGACAGGCAATGATAGGAGCATGTCACAGACTGACAATGGTACATTTGTACGTCTCCATACTATTTGGAATCTAATGATAGTATCATTTTAGTAATGTTTGTGAAGCGAACAAGCTGAAACATTGGATTATAATGTTGGTTGATAATAATTGTATACATTTAAGAAATGCCAAAGCTTTTAATTTATAGTCAGGAGCATAATTAGAAAAAAAAATCGGAAATAAGATGATGTTTTTGTAAAAGTAACTTTTGAATATCTACGTTCTGTTACATGTTACTACAGCTTGACTAAAAAAATCCGTTTCCTCGATAAGCAAGGCAACAGCGAGCTTGAAATGATAATGTACATGTACATGTAGTTGAGAATCGGTTTCTCGAACACTGATAACTAGTGTACCATGGATATATCGAAGTGCAAAGCACGTATTTCTTATATTTGTTACACTAGATTTAACGAACCATCGGATATTTCGATTTAATTTCTTGCTTCCATCAAGTTTTACATTGTTTGACTTTATACTGTCGAAATATGATTCAAATCATAGAGAAGTTAGAATAATGTTTGAAACTAAAATCGCTAAATCAATGTGTAAAATTTATTCTCCTAAGTACCTTCTTCGCTCTTTATGAATTTATGAAAAGAAAGATTTTAACAATCTATTAAATCTTTTGCTGTACAATAGAACGTCAAAATTCATATAAATAATTCTTTGATGTAGAGAAAAAAGTTTTTTTACTACTATTATGACGCCCTAGCCAGCTAAAATGCGTTTGCCGCAATAAAATCATGGATACGTAATTTTTTGACAGTCCATGAAAAACAAAACAATATAATGTACGAATAAACATACTTTCATAAGAGATGCTGTAATTTGAAGCACTTGTTGTAATTGGATTTGTAGCACCTGCTGTGATCGCATTTGTAGCACTTGTATTTTCGTCAGTAGCATTTGTTGTAATTGGATCTGAAGCACTTGTTGTAATTGGATCTGTAGCACTTGTAATTGGATCTGTAACACTTGTTGTAATTGGATCTGTAGCACTTGTTGTAATTAGGTTTGTAGCAGCGTTTGTTATTGGGTTCGTTGAACCTGCTGTGAAGATATTTGTAGCACTTGTATTTTCGTTAGTAGCCCTTGTTGTAAGTGGGTTTGTAGCACTTGTTGTTATTGGATTTGAAGCACTTGTTGAAATTAGGTTTGTAGCAGCTGTTGTGATTGGGTTTGTAGCACCTGCCGTGATCGCATTTGTAGCACTGTTTTCGTCTTCAGCACTTGTTGTGATCGGGTCTGTAGCACTTATTATATTTTGGTCTGTAGCACTTGTTATATTTTCGTCCGTAGCACTTGTTGTTATCGGGTTTGTAGCATTCGTTGCTATCGTATTTGTAGCACCTGCTACTATCGTGTTTGTAGAACCTGGTACTATTGGGTTTGTGGTACTTGCTATTATCGGGTTTGTATCACTTGTTGTGATCGGATTTGTAGTATATGTTGTAATTGAGTCTGTTATACTTTCTGTGGTTGGGTCTATAGCACTTGTTGATCCTAAAAATAGATCATATTTCATTAAACTTAAAAAAAGAAGAAAACAGTGGATTATTTTACTTTTACAATGTATAATGTTTCTTGAGATGCGTGCTGCAGTTGAGGCATCTTTCTGTTTAATTAATCTTTTTCAAAGGGTTAGCAACAGCACATAATTTTTGGAATGCATTGTATGTGATATTAGAGAAGGAAAAGTAAACGCTTTCCGATCGCTTAACATGCAAAAACATCGGCTGAAGTGACAGTAAAATGACAATACTGCTCCAAGTCGGTCGATTGACATCTGCATGTTTATAATTCACCGGGCAATATATAATTATCGTTTCAATCTAAAACTTTGCACATTTGTTTTATTCGTTCCTTAAAAACTGTTCACGAAATCTCGTGAAATTACATCTGTCCTTTATGAAATAAATGTACATGTAAATGTCTCAATAATTTCCGAATAGCTCTTGTAAAGTAGTGTAAAAAAGAATGAAAAACATAAACTCAGTGAAAAAGGATCTTCTGACCCTTGCACACCAAAATTAAGAAGGATCAGTTACATAAGAGGATAAAGCACCCCCTTCGTATTGCTAAAATAAGACTTGTTTTGAAAAGAAAATTGTTGACTTAGCGTCTCGTTTAAAATTCTCTGCGTATTGTATAATAAATAACGTAATATTACCTTGTGGAGTTGCCTTCGAGCAAAAATACTGGTAAAGCGCTGTGCATGTTTCACCCTGAATTTTCCCGTAGACGTAAAGATAAACACAGTCCCACTGCCAGGTGATATGAGGCACAGTCTGCCAGGGAAGGAAAGTCTGTATGTCATTTAGCATGTTTACATAAACCCCATCCCTGTTCATATCGTGTATTCCTATCCAAGTATTCGCAATTCTGGAAAAAAAGACCCCTGGTAATTAACATTCAGATAGTTACGTTTCGTTTAACAGAAAAGGTAGAATAATCGCACGTTTGCAACTTTGAGAAATATTCGTTGAAGAAAATGAAAACTGAATGATTGCGTAGTTTTCGTAAAATAAATTCAACTCAAATGTTCTAAAACGTTGTACAAACTCAACAAAACTTAATCTTATATGCACATTACTATTTCTTTTCTTTCATTTGCCTACCTGTTACGTTATGAAAGAGAAGCCCATCCTCAGTATGGCTAGTATATAAAATACCTTCGTCATTCTTATGGTTATAAGGGACAGACATTACATATATTCTCTTGAACAATTTGTTTTTTTAAAAGGGACAAATAAATTTTAGAATCCTAGGTATTTGTGCAAAATGTCCACCATCCCTCCGATTGTAAAATGAAGTATGAAAAAGACTTTAATCTTTTGTGACGTATTTGCTAAATCATTGTTAATACTGGCAGCGAACTTAAAATTAGAATTTGTAAATACATTTATAGACAAAACGATTAATTATACTTACCCTGGAAATGTGTTAAGCAGAAATGTTATGGTTTCTTGATTATCAATTTTGGCTAAAATTCCACCATCATTTTGACAATTCTTGTGTGCATTATTAAACGTAGTGTATGTAGTATGCAGTGTGTAACAATTATCTTTAAACAGCACGCCACTGGGACACTGTCCTGAAACAAAACATTGAAAATCGAGCAAGAACACATAGTCTAAGAAATAACGAACAAGAGCAATATTCAAACCTGTTTAGAAAGAAAATTAAATGCAGATTTAATTTTTAGGCATGTTGACTTTTTGTAGCAATATGAATGATAAATGTATCTGTAACTGTCTGCAAGTATTTTCAAGACTTGATTAATCAAATGCGCAACAAGCAATGCAACAAACTATTTACAATTTAGAAAATATGTTAGTCACACACAGTATTGTAGACGGATTTTCCGTTAGTTCCTGATCATGACAATGAGCACACAGCGGCTGTGGCCGGTCGGCAGAGTTTACCGGTATGCTTGCTCTTTAATGGCACCTAATTCAACCTATGATGTTTAAGAGGTCCGTATCGAGTACACTTGATTTCTTTTATTTATCATCTTAATTTTTGTACAAATTCATTATTCTGTTTAATTATTTAATCCCGAAGAACACAAACAAAAAATAAGCGTTAAGAGATGTTGATTGTTCTTTTTTCCTTTACCCTCAATTTAACATTATCGATGATTTATTTTATATGCATGTCTAAGATGTCGGTCATTATAAAATAAATGAAAAAGGAAGTATGCTTTTATATGTAAAAAGAGGATTCAAATAAAAGAAAAATTCTTTAATGACTCCTTTACCTATCGTGTCATTTTTATCGATAGTGTGATTGTTACATTTCCCCCTATTTTTCGTTTGTTAAAGTTTTCATGAAATATAAAGTTAAAAAGGGAACATTATTTGAAGTTAAGAACATATATTTACCGTATAAGTGGAAATTTACCGAGACGCAAATTTAGCGATTTCTACTTAAGAACTGGTAGTTTATTTTTAGCAAGAGGTAATTTTAGCGATTTTCAAATGCTAACTGAAGAAGCTATTACAAATAAAACGCAATTAATATTAGCGATATCAAATTTTAGAGATGTCAGCACCCTCGCTTATAATGCCAAAATTAAAAATTCTACTTATACGGTATTATTGTTGTTTTTGATGTATAATTTATTGTAACAAAACATCATTCGAATTCTTATATTAATTTTGAGCTCAATTTGTGAAAGATAATAAATTAAAGGTTTTGTCAAGTTTATGAACAAATGACATTCCAATATTTATATTTGAACACATTTTGAATAAAGTTTCAAATATATTCGCTTCGGAGTCTCTGAGAATTTTGAGCTCGAATACTGTTCGTTTTCTTCATATATTTCATTGTCAATTCATTCTGATGTAAAATTGTACTAAAGGAATAGAAAACAAAATCACTGAATACAAAAGAGAAAAAAAATATTTTAACGTACCAGCAGGTACTTACCCATTAATGTAGATATCGTTAAGAAGAAAATGAATGCTAGATATACCAATAGAAACATGTTGAGAGTTGATGTGTTTCAGACGAACGCACAGTGAAAAAGAAATCGGGTGTTAAATGCTTACCGTATAATTTCAAAACCATTTATTTAATGTTTTTAGTAAACAATTAAACATACCGAGAAAAAGATTGTGTGCTTAGCGAAAATAATGGATGGAAAAGAAACAAACACAAAGACCAAAGATTTTTACCATGTAAAATCGATTCCAATTCATTTACTTTTTATCTTAATTTACAGTAGAGCGAAATAATATATAATTGTTTCGTTTTAGAGTTAACTAACAACATGTTTTAAATCTTACAAATGCATCACTTATTTAATTCACTGTAGACAAGACTGAAAAATGCATGTACAATGTATTTTACGCCGATGAAAATAAATTAATTTGACAGTTTACGAGGGCGGCTAAATAAGTTATATCATTGGTGTTCAGAAAGAAGCAAAAAACGCTTTTTAATGACTTTGTCTTAATGATTTTCCTTAAATACTCTCCTTTAATTGAAACACATGTCTGTAACAATTTTATCAAAATTTCCAATTAATTAAGAAAGCTTTTCTGAGTACTGGTAAGCCTTTTGTATATTGGACAAATATTTAGGAAATAAAACAAGTCAAAGGATGAAAGACCTGGCGAATATTGTCGGTGTGACAAAACATTGCCTTTCTGTTTACCAAAAAAACCCCACTCCTTTATTGTTCATCAAGTGTGAGTTAGGACGTTGTCATGAAGAAAATTTATGTTGTAGATTCCTGATTCTGGTTCTTTCTTCTCATAAACTTTTAGCATTTTTTATTTTTAAAAAAAAGTACGCTTCATACTCGTCCAGAAATTGAACGGCCTTCTCGAATAAGAATCTGAGCAACATTGGAATATTATGGAATATAACACTGTCTTTGTGTTCTTCCAATTCTTTGTTCTTGTCACATCTTTACTGTTTTGGGCAAGTGCACGTTGATTTTGTTGTAAATTTTTCTTTGGGGTTCAAAGCTGTGGATTCAGGTTGCAATATCTGTGCGAATTTCAGACAAAGGTGGAAAACTTACGAATTTTTATTAAATGAAATATTTGTTTGGATTTTTTAAACTCTGTTGTTTATACTCATTTGTCAAAACATAGATTGACCATTGAGCACTAAGTTTTTTAGTGCCAAATGTTTTTTAAATAGTGTGAATTATCCCCAAAATTTTGCCTACCAAATATGCGATTTAATATCAAGCAGACATTATCAGTGATAATCTATCGCAAATATTACATCGATTGTTGTCAGTCCTCGTCGTCAAGGATCGTACTCATTTTTAATGCGTACTTTATTATTTTTGAACATTGAAATCCACCTGCTGTTTGTCTTGGGGGAGCTAGCAATTGCTGTCGACTTCTCTCACAATCAGTGCATGCCCAACGTCACGATCAGACAAACAGAGAAATCTATAGAGGAAAAGAAACGCCCCACAATATATAGAGATAGAACAAATGCTGATTTATTAAAAATGTTCAGTTATAAAATTACAAATAGAATGAAACTAAAAATGTCTGTTGAGGACAGACGAGACGTTCCTCAATAATATATAATTTTCTCCAATAATTTGACATTGAAGTATTGCTACTTTAACATGTTTACTCACAAAAAATTGACGTACCTTACCAGGTATTTGTACGAGATACTAAAGGATGGCATTTCTTATATAATCCTTTTAAAAAAAATTGTTTGCCAAAATCACGTTTTTAGTGTTTCATTTTTTAAAAAAACAATTAGAAACCGATTTAGAAAACAGAACGTAATTAAAATTTTGTATGTTTTTCATACATAATGAAGATATACAAAACAAATATTTGGGGAACATATTGTCTGACCTTAATATCCAGTAGGATTTTTTATGCTCTGGCCATCAACAGCTTGAAATTAGAACAATTTTTTTGACAGAGCTTACTGCTTATTCAACTTTGTTGTAAGACACCCTAAGAGCCAAGAAAAGCTCCGTACTTTACGTCTTTCTCAACTAACATACACATCGATTTTATTAATTTTTTTCTATTATGTTTTATTATTGTAAATGTATTACAGTTATCACTTTGAACATAAATGTTTGTTTTCAAAGAGAAAGTATGGGTAAAAAATACCCTTCCTATGTATATTTTTTTAAAAAAAATACACACAAACCATTATTAATAATTGATATTATTTCCTTATTCATAAAACAGTTGTTTTTTCTTCTTCGATATTTTTTTTAAAATTTTGAATACACACAAAACCAATCCCTGTGTGCAAAACAACCATCTGTGTGCATTTGTTCATCTCCTTTATCAGTTCAAATGCTGAAAAAAATGTGTGACACTGCTGACCTCTTCAAAAATAAACTAGGATTGTTAATTTTTTTATATATGTAAATCTTTCGTTGCTCTGGTTGCTGCATAGCAAATCTACAAATTTAATAATTAATATCTTACTTCAGTCTAAAAATTCGCCAGGAATCATCTAGTATCTGTAAACATGTTTGTCATTTTCCGACGATACAATGATTACATAATGTTCCTGTTGGCTAGACATGAGACAAATGATATTTAAATGAAGTTTCTAATTAACCAAGAAAAAAGTTCAACAGGTACAATGTGAATCGCTGTTACATTGTTGCTCAATCATTTAGCCCACTGACATGACACTATAAAAGGTTTTAAAAAACCTGCTGTGATTAGAAAAAAGGAAACACCATGGAAATTTATTGCTTTATTACATCATCAGCAGAAAAAGGAGTTTAATATAAAATTTTAAAATTACAGGATTTTATCATTTCTTTATGGGGTACCGACCCTCTGATAAGAGACATTACTTTCAAAGTACAAAATATGAATACTACTCATAGTCTTCTTTATCAGAGTTTCCTTACTGAGACCTCTGAGAAGTCAAATAGATGAAATCTTACATATAATGGAAACATTAAATTTGATTTCTTTTGTGAATTTTTCCAAATTGTTTGATTATATTTAACAATAAAACATGTTATTCCAACTTTAAAAGCCTTATACATTGAATACATTGTATCTTTTTAAGTACCGTTTTAAAAAATGGTTTAATGTTTCAAGTACAAATTTTGCTAGTATTTCATTTTTTCCACATGAAGATATATTTAGAAGAGAGCTAATTCCTCCTTATAGATGTATTTTTTCGTACAATCACATACAACATTGTCATCTTCTGACTTACAAAACAGCCCTTTATATATTTCTGTTCTCTGTGTTGAAAAATCATTTCTAAAAAAAATACGCAGCGCTTTATACGTCAAACTATTTCCAAAGTGGCTTTAATGTTATTGTTATTCATGAAATTTTAAATTTTCATTATGAAATTTATAGCAGAGGGAGGGTCGGGAACCCTTGATTACAGATTATTTCGCCAGACATGTTAAAAAGTAAAAACATAGCAGTTCTCTGGAAATACCTGAAGTACCTTTTCGAAGAGCAATTGTTCTATAAAGTTTGGACCTTGTCCGTTATATTTTGTATATTATTTACATATATCTATATCTCGGTGAGAGGAAAATAAGAAACAAGGTCCTCAATGTCAAAGATGCACCATTGATTTCCTAGCTTTTGAAAAGGTGTCAAGTGAAACCTTCCATCATTCAATTGCAATAATGATTTATAACGAGATGAATTATACAGCAATGTCAATATTAATAAATTCAATTCTCAAAGTACAAAAGAATTCCTAAATGAAATATTATCGTGTGAAAAAAAGATATGTTCTTTAATTAAATAAATAGGTTATTTTTTATGTTTTTGTTTCAGAAATTAAATGCTTTTCACAAGTTTCAGGTTGCGAATTATTATTGTAACAGGTTGATGCTGAGTTCTTTTAATACTCCATTTGCTCATTAGAATGTTTTTTTCTGAATGATTTAATGCTTGTTACCCTTTTCCTTTTTTTTTTTTTTTAATTTTTACAGTTTTTGTCTCGAAACTAGGTCAAGTTATTGAAATGAAATATGTGGAGATAACGAATAGTATTCGAGCTTTCAATGCCATTTACCATTACAAAATAGGAGCGAAGCAAACATGACCGTCCAAAACATCAGAGGATCAGGGAGTGAACACCCCATACCAACCCGTGCTACATGTAGTAGGAGGGGGATATCAAAGTATTTAAATATCGAATTTAGAGTTAAAAGCATTAAAATGCATTCACATGTATTATAATTAGATTTTAATTCATTTTTAGTATTCCTAATCATGAAACTATGGCTAGTTGTTTTTGTATGTTTACGATCTATTCCAGTCAGGAAAAAAACTGGTTTAATTTTGAGGCTAGTAGTTCACTGTTGATTTTATTTTTTAAAAGCCAATTCTAGTCTTTTAATTATTTGATTATGCTCAAACTTATGAATACCACTTAGTCTCTTGCATTTGTAATTATGAAATGGTCAAAATTTCCTGTTTCTAATACAATTGTAATGAAAAAACGCATCAAAATAACATTTATTTTGTATTACTAAGCAGTAAACTAGACTGACCAATATTGATTTTAACGTATGTAATTGTTAACTGGATTTTAACGAAAAGTACTAACTTTTACACTCGACGGCTTACTTTCACATTTAAACATGAGTTATTCTACTGATCATGAGGAACGGGATTGATAATAGATTAAAAACGTAAAAGTGACCATAGGTAGGGTATTAGGAGCACTTACACGATTTACAGGTGTGCAATCAGAACAAGAGAGGTAGAAAAACATAACTAAAAATACCTCATTCTTGAGGAGTACTATTTCTTTTCAATATCTTTTTATGGAAGAATATAATCAAATAAGGAACAAAAAACGTTACGGTATAACAACTTTGCAGGGGTTGGTCAAAATGGGAAGGGAGGGTTTTAGTATGGGGCGTTTCTTGTTCCCCTCCCCATCAACGTAATATGAGCTTTGAATACTAATAATCATCGTTTAATTAACTGTTTAGCTCAATATTTATATCACAAAATACCTACCGTATTCGACACAGTGTAACAGTTAGTCGTCGATTGTAAACATTAGCGCTTATGAACCCGTTGCTAAGCCTTGGAATCGAAAAAAATTTTAATTGTGTTTTAGCTTAGGTAAGACAAAATCTTTCATATACCAAAAGCTATTTTTGATTATGCTCATCGCAAAAGTCCAGTGATAAATAATATTGACCTTTTTCTGACTTTTGATCGAAGACGTCGCTGAGAAAATAAGTTTTTATATTTATTTTGTCTCGACTTACTACACTGTTAATACATTTTATTTTTTCTCTTATAAGAAAGATAAGAAGGAAGGCCAAAGTGAGTTAATACGTCATCAGCGGCCTCCAACGAACTCTCCCCCCAACCATTATGTTCCGCTCCCCAGTAACCATGCACAATAAATATATTGTCTCTTGGAAAAGGTGATGTCAGATAGTTTTTGATGTCGTACCATCTTGATCCAGGCTTCCAAGAAATCCAACCTCCATTGTATGGGTACCTGTCCCAAACGAACATCATTCCGTCCACAGGAGCAGGGAGATGTCTGGGGTCTATCTTGTAAACTTTGGAAATCTGACTATGTGCGTGTCTTATAACCTCGTCCGTTACCCGGGTATCATCATTTCTTTTGCTTATGACGTTTCCTCTCCGTTGAAGTCGACTCCAGAACGCGACATCGTCGAAATCAGCATACGACATGAGAAAAACTGCTTTGCCAGTGCGAGATATACCCCAATGGAAAGATTGTCTGTAGGGTAGATCTGAATGGGTAAAGGTGAAATTGTATCTCTCATTAAGCCACCATGGATAATCGTACACAAGGAATATCTTAGAGGCTTGAACATCAATCACTGAATTGAGTGCTGACTGGAAAACAGGATTGTTGGAGTCTGGCATCTGAATCCGCTGTATAGCTATCTTTGGTAGTGCTAGTATAACATTACGAGTTACCACTCTGAAGTATTTAGATGTAGGAATAGTTTTACCATTGATAGTTCTTGTTCTTCTAAATATCAGTCGGTAAAGTCCTCTTTTTGTTTTTGATATTTTGATTAGTTGGCTGTTTGGATAATAACGGTGTCTACAACAGGAATTGAAATAATTTAAATGAGGATCAAGGCAATATTACAAACAGAACATGTAGATTTTGTAGTTATTTATTTTCTGTTGTGTCTATCAGGATGCATAAATTGATATTTCAATCGTAGATATTATGAATTCTGTGATTATTCATGTTTTATAGGGAACTGAATACAGGTAAACATTGTCCTTTCTGAATATTGTGTATCGATGAACTAAAGTGAAGACCAGCAGACATAGCCAAAGTGCAAATCAAAGGTGATTTTACAGCGATCTATCATTTAATTCAGCATAAATAATTTTTGTAGCCATTAAAGCGGTAAATGAATGTTAAAAAGTACATGCTTTTTTCTACAAATTTTGAATTCAAAAGATTTTGTAAATAGAGACTTTCATTGAAATTACACCTCACTGTGTTTTTTTACACATTGCAATAGAAGAACGTTTGGTTTGATCGTTATAACTTGTTAATTGAAAATAACATTTACCTATGCATGGGCAATTGTGAACATTGGTATAAGGTGAATTTCATGTTTTTAAGCATAAACACTTAAGGAACTCCGATCTTCAGCCAGGAAGGATAACTTTTTAATTTATAATTTAATTCAAAAATTCTCCAAATGAAGCTTGTAAATTAAATTTTTTCATGCAACAATTTTCATTTCATGCCTCTCAGTGTGCTTCAATGTTATTTACAGTTCTTGGAAAGGTCTTATAAATAGTCGAAATTTTTACCCCAAAAAATTATTTCAGAATAACCTACTCAAAGAAATTGAAGTTCTTTACATCGAAGTATAGATAGTTTACATATTTATTTACATTTTTATTTACATATGATATTTACATATGATATGAAAATAGAAGTGATTTTATGGGTTTTGCAATGATAGGAAAATCTGTATACACTATACATTGTAAAATGATCGAAGTAAATAGAAGAAACTAAAGTAACTGTATGTATAAAATTTGTGCAATTTCTTCAAAAGCCTGGATACCTATGATTTGTATTTCTAACATTTGTTTGTTGATCAAATTTGATTTGGAAAATGCACAGTAGGAGTTTTTATTCGCCTTTCCTGGAAAATTTTTGAGATTTACTAAAATTACTGTAATTAACTTTAAAGATGAAGTTCGAAGAATTATTTTTGATAAAAACACATTACTTTGAGAATTCAGAGACATTTTTGTGAGCATTTTCAATTAGTCAATGCCTGATTTTCAGAACCTGAGGATCAGAGTACCTTAAGCTTAATCAAAACAACAATTTTGAGGATACCTTGCAGGGTTCCGTAATAGGAATTGTTTCATAAATCGCGTGGGGTATGAACTCATTCCGGTAGGAACAGCTACCACTCGTGGAAGTCCAGTAGGATTTGTGCCCTCTCCGAAACCCTGACGTGTTTTGGGAAACGCCTCAATGCACTGTTCATAAGATAAACCGGAGTGGAATATATTGTTGTCATATATGTATTTGTAGGCTTCATTACTTATTCCAGTTTTTCTAATAACTTCGTTGTATCTGTAAATAAATTACGTAAAAAGTAATCAGAATGGAAGAAAACATCATGGCTAAGTTGAAAGTAGGGAAAACCTGTAGGTCATTATCACAATTGAAGAAAACATCATGACTCATTTAAAAAGTAGGAAATCACAAAACGCACAAAAAAATAAATAAAAAAGAAAATATATTTTATCTTTTGAAAATGTTTCATTTATTTTGGAACAGCTACAAGCATCATTGCCTGTTGTATTGGACAAAGGCTTATCGTTCTGTAATTTCAATGAAAGCTTTAGGACATTGGCAAGATCCCTGAGTTTCATATGGAGTTTTTCAAGAACTCTTCTGTAGGTGTAATGGCACTACACGTATTTTATTCTGATACATTATACCCTCAAAGCCATCCTTCCTTTTAAGACTTAGTCAAATCAATGTCTTTTCCTATGTATAATGTTGATTAAAAAACTTACATAATTTTCAACATAAAAATTCTCCGAAACCTATTTCTTTCATATTTTTATTGTTTCCTTTGACCTCTAGTTGTTTTAGCTTAAATTGCAAGTTTTGGATATATGCCGAATACAGTTCTGTATTAAAAAATATCAGACAGTTTGAGGACCGTTAGGGCCGAAAACTGTCTGATATTTTTTAATACAGAATTGTATGAGGGATATATCATACTTAAAACATTCCTTTTGATTAACCTGAGATAGTCCGATTTTAGAACAAAAGACAAAGGTGTTAATGACCACTGAAGCAATTATTTCAAGAATGCAGGTTTAAATGAAAAGTACTCAGTATTTAGGGATTCGGCTTCACTGTAAAAGGTATTTGAAATAATTTGATAAGGAGAGTGGGGACGAATTTTTTCTTCCTTAAAACATACACGGAGATTAAAGCAGAGCAACAAATTATAATATAGACAATCTAGCGAATGGTGAATATGGAATGGAAAATGCAGATATGAAGAGTGACCACAGAAAATTAAGCAGATGCTGGAGGTACATTTATAAGTTCATTTCATTTTTTTGATGTTTAGCTTCTACATGTACCTTTTCTTGGATGCTCTATTACAGAAAAACAAACATAATCAATAATCCAGGGGTTTTGAGGGAAACATTGAAATAATGAAATACTTTAAATTTCTTTCACAGTTTGTTGCGAATCTGTCAAATTAAGTATTAATTTATATATTAGGCCTAACTACCTTGCTTTTACATCTAGACATTTTTCTTTCTATGAGAAAAATGAAATCAAACTGTTTGAATGTTGTTCTTTATAGTGTCTAAAGTTTGTGTTTTATCTTGAATTTATTTTTGGGGTTTTGAAAGTTTTTGTGCTTCTCTGGTGTCCCCCAAAGACCAGAGAAAGGGGTTGGAACATTTTTTCAAGTGTTATATAAGTTTATTAGAAATTTACCAGCTTTGTTTGATTGTTTAGTTTTTTCTAAATGATCTGGTCTGCTGCATTTTCTTCTTCCTGTTACAGTATATTCGGTGTAATTGAAAGTTTAATTTTCTATTTAATTCTGCAATTCTGTAAGATCATGGTTTCAAAATCATCATTGAAAGTGAGAAATTTAAATTGCTGTTTGTTGATTAATCACATTTTTTATTTCCTTTATTCAGTAACAGTCCAATTTTGCAAGATATCAGTACTGAGACAGTCTGATATTACGATTAATATCAGACTGCTCACTAATATCGCACTGCCATCTAATAGGTGAATTTTTAGACTGCAAGAACAAAGGAATGACATCACAGCAATGTTTTAAATATAAAAACAATGCAGATTATACATCACCGTTCTTTATTTTTACTTCTCTAAAATTTATAATTTAATTTCTAAAGCATGAATATCAGCAGTCTCGTTTAAAGTCATCATTTCGTAATTTACAAATCGGTACAATAACCTTGTCAGCAAATACAATTTATCATTAAGTCTAATGCTCACTCAGCCTCACTGACCTCTTTCCTACTAATTGTTAGGCCATTATTTACATACTGATTTTTTTGAAGATTTATTTCCTTTTTTTCGATCATGACAATGAGGACACTGCGGTTGTGACTGTCGGCAGGGAATGATCACTCCTCTATGACACCCGATCCCGCCTCAGATGTTTTGGAGGTCCGTGTTTGTTCTGCTCCAATTTATTATTGTTTTATGGAGTTTTGAACAAAACATGAATACTGTTCGTTATCTCCATACATTCCATTGATAATGTATCCAAACATTTTTGTGTATAATAAACTAGCCAGGGTTAATAATTTTTTGTTAATCATTCTTCGTCACAATTGTTTGAAATTTGAAATTTGAAAAAAAAATTCAGCTGTTTTAATTACTCAATTAACATTCCTTGAGTGATCCATATGTTGGATATATCACGTGATGCCAGGTTTTAAGATCATAAATCATTAGATTTAATTCAGAATCTGTATATAATGTATATAATGTGATGAAATAGTGTAATACCAAAACAGTTTAAATTAAAATTCGACAACAGAAAAACCCTTGCAATTACAAAAAATGGATTTCCCATGGAAGACCAAATGAAAGAGAAAACCACTTTAATGAATGAATCATTTTAAGAAATAATTTGAATTTCAAATTGAAATTCAAGTCATTATTATCAAATGCATTAAAATCAAAATGACAAACCTCTGCAAATATAAAGGTACTCCATCTCTGAGAGTGACAGCAGTGAAAAGTTCTCTTTTTGGATCTGAACCGTTATAATTTGTAAACAATGCAGATAGTGACCTAAATGTTAATAAGAAAAAGAAAACGTTAATGCATCAAAACTTCCTGATGATTAAAGAATGTAAATTAAAGGTATAAGCAATTAACGGCAGTCGTTTGAACGAAAACGTGAAATGAGTCGTGTATCATTATTGTATCAACATTTGAACGTACCACACAAAAATGAATCTAATCTTAAAATTTTGACATCAAAACGACAATACACCTACCTTTCTGAGAGATTAAAATTTTAGCATGGAAAAATAACATTACACTCACGTTTCTAAATCTGAGGGATTTATGCTTTCTTCTGGTCTAAGCCTATAAGGTGTCCTTATTGAACCCAGCTCAGGGATCGACAAGTGCGTGTTTCGCAGGAAAAGGCGGGTTCGCTCGGGTACCCGTCCCATTTCTTCAACAAAAGGAACGAATGTTAACCCTAATTCTCTACCGGCTTTAATCATCCTTAGATGGTTTGCTGGCCTTAACCGCATGGCTCCAAAATCAACCGGAAGGTCGGGGGCATCTGGGAAGGTTCTTGTGTACATTCTGCCCCCGACACGATTTGAGTATTCATAAATTCCTATCCGGAGGCCTTTATTCCTGAGCCTCCATCCTGTGTAGGTACCTCCGATACCGCCCCCAATAATGGTTATATCCTCCACCTGTCCACCTTCAAAGTCAAATATAATAATTAACAAATAAAAAATGAACCTCAGGGTGAATATTTTCTTTCTACATGGGATTGTGGAATACTGCAAAATAACTGAGACTTAGAAAAAAACATATGCTCACTGAAATAAATTCCATATTTTTTTCTGTAGGTACATGAAATAAAACAAGGAATCTTTAAGAAATACAATAACTTTAAGGATATTCAATATTAACTTAACTATATGTTTTTTTTTCAATAAGCAATGTAAATTAGAGAAAAAAATTTACTTGTTTTTTCTGTTTTATCTTTTATTTTCACCCCGATTCTTTTCACCCAGATATTTTTCGAAATTATGTAATTATCAACCGTCCATATGTTGTAAGAGCTTTAAAATGGCGATGCGCAATTCAAAACATGACTTTACGCAGTAATTATCTTTTTTGATGACAAAGTAAAAACAAATCCTGTTGAAAAGTTACAAGAAAGATTACCTTTAATTTGTCCGAGACTAGTAAGAAAAATACATATGCTCACTGAAATAAATCCCATATTTTTTGTAAGAACATGAAACAAGCGAGGAATCTTTACTGAATACACGTCTTCCAAGATATTTAAACTAAAGAAGGCAACTCTTATTTATCAAGCACTTAATACGTTTCTTGGAAAAACCATACAATTTATGAAAATTACGGTACAAAAATCATTTCAAGCACGCATAATATTCTGCTAATGTATGTTGCAATGTTATAATATTCTTATCGTTCTATAAAAAGAAACAGTAATTTACAAAATAGAAATTAATTTATTTAATTTCCTACACAGTGACACGTTAGCACTCCTGGTCTCGTCAATTCAATGTTCTGTGCATCAAAACACCAGATATACCTTTCAGACATATGTGTTCAATTACAATGTACTATAATTCTTTTACCTTTTTAATTTTGCTGTTCTGCAGGAAGTGGCTAAAAATATGACGATAATAACTTTCAGTAATTAAGCTCAATTACCAACTGTAACAATATGATTGAAAGCACCGGAAATATTGACCTCTAAAACATCAGAGAGGGATCAGGTGTCGTGAAGGTACAAGCATCTTCTGTTCATCATTAACTCCCGCAGCGTTTTCTTTAACTTGTGTTCAAACGGAAAAGAATGGCTTAGACAAGTTTGTACATTAATATATTTATATTCAGTGTAATTTTCTTTATGAAATCCATTAGAAATCCACGACGTTCAAATCCCTAAAACACACGCGAAACCTTGTCACCGCGCGTAAGAATACACATAGGAACTTTAAGCATTTTCAATACTCAAGGAAAACTAACCTGTACAATCTTCTTATTCTCAACTAAACTATAACCCTGTTAAATTAGCGAAAGAAATACAACAAATGTGCGTTTAAAATTAATTTGTCACTTTTCATCCTCGCAATGTTCGTTTGCGTATTTAACTTTGCAAATTTGTTAAGCACACCAGTTTCGAAGGGCTCTTTATTCACATTAAAGATAAAACGAAATTTACAATTATAAAAATGTAAAATTAGGGAATGTAAATATAAGCATTGAGTTCATATTTTTGGATGTCGTCGGTTCTCTAACACACCCGGACTAGCAGACAAATTATCATACCGTGCTATTGCACAGTATTCAATTTGTCGGCACGGTCAGGTGTGTTATAGAACCAATGATATACAAAAATATGATTTCAGTGCTTAATAAACACACATAAACTGCATGTAAATCATTTCTTAAACTGAATAAAAAATCATATTAAATTGAAATTAAAAGATAATAAATAAAATGAAGAATGTTAAGTTTAAAGTTGCTAAATGGATATGAATGTGCTTCCAATTGCATGAGAGTTTTAAAGTTACTAAAGTTAAAAATGAAACTGCAAATGAGGAGAAAGTTATATTTTAATTTAATTCATGTAGATCCTTAAAATGAAGAGTTGGGTTTGAACAAGTATGATTTATTAATCCATCATCATCATGTAATAACTAAAAGTGAGCCTGATCGAGAGAAAAATCACTCACTTCCATACACTTACATGTATATGTTAAACTCATATTTTTTAAGTATTGTAAATATATAATATATGATAAATAAATAAATATAGAAATGTATTTTATACCATTAATTCAATCTGAGTTTTTTAAACGTTATCGCCCTTTGAATGTGTTTGTATGAAATATAAAGTCATGGCCTGAATGAATGTTTTATGAGTTTCAATTGTGATCGTTTTGTGTTGTAACGTGATTGTATTTGTCTATAAGTTGTGTATATATAGGATATCTATATTGTGTGATTTGTTATTGGCTTTATCCAACGAGTTGAAATGATGTATATATTCGCCAAGCTTGCAGAGCATGAAAAATATCAAATCACACAATTATAGATGATCTGTTTATCTCATACGACTTTCGTTTTAACAAAACTTTAAGACTTTCCTTGCGAAACTATGTATGATTGCCAATTCAAATTGATGACGTATATGATGTTGACATGCCTCGAAAGAAAGTAGATCGTGTTCAAAATTAGGAATTTTTGCTATCTGCGTCTTTGAAAACATCATGTGACAATTGCTGGAGCTTTATATCAAGCAAACTTCTGACTGAAAGTTGTAAGGATCATGGGATCGTAAATATTAACTCTTTGTATGATGGCAGTACAAAAAGTGCCAGGCAAGGCTTGGAGCCTACTTGTAGATCTAATTTTTATTGATCCATGGTAAGTTACACCTATATTACTAGGTAGACATACTTACGTAGTAGAATATAAGAAAGCATTATTGAAGATCATGTTAAAGGAACCTTAAAGCAACAACTTAACTGCTAGGCTTTACTTTCTCTGAAAACGATTCAAAGACGGGGGGGGGGGGGTAACTTCTGTCTTCAAGTAGCCAATACATGTTCCTTGATAAAATAAGAGACTTCTTTGACATATACAAGTCTTTTTCTTGCTTTTAGCGATATTACCGCTCTTTATCATTCATTTTATTAAGGCAATACTTTTCACAAATAAAAATTTCAATAAAATAAAATATTGAAGCTAGGGATCGTATCAAAACCGGAAGTACTATTGATAAAGCATCTACCCGTGGATAAAGCATAAGTTCATCTAATGGGCTATATCATCAACACGTGTAAGATAAATGTACTTATATGTTGTTATTGTTATAAAATTGTAGGCTTGATTTGAAATTTATAATAAAACAAATTTCAAATTTTATCTCCACGAAATAAATAAGAACATAACCCTATACCTTCTTGCAGTTATTTATTTGTACAAGAACCGGTTAAACCAAAGACATAATATAGTAGGTTCATGATATGACGCATTAATACGTTTTAAAATAAATTGTTTGAAGAATTGATTCATTCGCCAAGACAAAATTTTGTAAATGAACAGAATGAGAATTTTAAATTCGACTGAGAGAACAATCAAAGTACGTTATATATAAAAAAGTGATAAGAAAGAGATTCGTAATACAGCTTTACATCTATAAATTCATCGTTATTTATAAATTTACAATAATTATGTATGCATTTGTGTTACAAGAATTATCATTTTTTATTTTTCTCACAAACTTTTGACTGACAACGTTTGTAAATCATTGAGTTTGTATTTTGTGGCTTTTCTAACTTAGCAACAATAATGTTCATTTTCTACCCATATCATGAAGATAAGGTGGAACTCCAAAGTGAGTTAATACAGCATCAGCAGCATCCAACGAACTTTCACCCCAACCATTATGCTCCGCCCCCCAGTAACCATGCACAATAAATATATTATCTCCAGGAAAAGGTGCTGTCAAATAGTTTTTGATGTCGTACCATCTTGATCCGGGTTTCCAAGATACCCAGCCACCACTGTACGGGTACTTGTCCCAAGCAAACATCATTCCGTCCACAGGAGCAGGGAGATGTCTGCAGTCTGTCTTGTAAACTCTGGAAATCTGACTATGTGCGTGTCTTACAACCTCGTCCGTTACCCGGGTATCATCATTTCTTTTGCTAATGACGTTTCCTCTTTGTTGAAGATGACTCCAGAACGCGACATCATCGAAGTCAGCATACGACATGAGAAAAACTGCTTTACCAGTGCGAGATATACCCCAGTGGAATGACTGTCTGTAAGGTAGATCTGAATGCGTAAACGTGAAATTGTATCTCTCGTTGAACCACCAAGGATAATCGTACACGAGGAATATCTTTGAGGCTTGAACATCAATCACCGAATTGAGTGCCGACTGGAAAACAGGATTATTGGAGTTTGGCATCTGAATCCGCTGTATAGAAATTTTTGGTAGAGCTAGTATAACATTACGAGTAATCACTCTGAAGTATTTAGTTGTAGGAATAGTTCTGCCATTGATAGTTCTTGTTCTTCTAAATATCAATCGGTAGAGTCCTCTTTTAATTTTTGATATTTTAATTAGTTGGCTGTTTGGATGATACCGGTGTCTACAACAGAAATTAAAATTATTAAAATGAAGATTGGCACGATGCTGGGCTTGAAAAGACATATTGATACTTCAAAGGGTAAAATCTAATCCTTGTACTTTGGATATTTAAATACCAAAGAAAATGATGGCCAACAACAACTACTTTGTATATCAAACGAGATAACATAAGCTTTTGTATCCTCATTTTTCTTCAATAATGTAGTAATATTCCATTGTCACCTGCATGTGGCATTACCATCTCCCAAATTATACGATACACAAGAGCATGCTACGAGTTTGATCAAGTTATAAACCGAGGCAAGCTCCGATATATATATTCGACCAAATTATTCTCATTTAATTTATGCGTATAAAAATGCCTTCCCATCTTAACCTGACCACTTGAATGAATGCCTTTATTTTCGTATGTTCAGTCATCGAACTAAGCTATACTATTTTGAAGAGTTTAGGAAATCTTATTTGACATGTTTTCTCCTGCTTTTTTAAAGAATATACATGTAGCTATGAGATAGATTTATATATTGTTTGGTCAAAGTTTGTAAAATTTGTCTTTTCTGAAATTATATCTTTGTCAATACCTTCGTGGGTTCCTTGACAGGAATCGTCTCATAAATCCCATGGGATATGAACCAAGTCCTGTGGGAATAGTTACCACCCGTGGAAGTCCATTGGGAGTCGTGTTCTCTTCGAATCCTCGTCTAGTTCGGGGAAACCGTACAATGCTTTGGTCATCTCCAAAACCAAATTTGAATAAATTGTTGTCAAATAAATAATTGTATCCCTCATTACTTATTCCAGTTTTTCGTAAAACCTCTTTGTAGCTGAAAATTATTTTTAGGCATAAACTGTTTTATTACGCATAAACTTAATTTCACTTGTAAAAAGCATGTTATACGCTAGACATGAAAATTCAAACAAATGTTTATTCTTATGGTGCAAATATTTAAGCATAAAAAATGATAGAGAGCAATAAAATGTAAAAATAAGCAATGAATCATTAAATTCAATGCGCGTAATTTAATTTGTTTATCTTTTTTAAGAAAATGATTCATTGCTTTTATTTACATTTTTAACTAGTATGGCCTCTAACTGTAAATATGAATATATAAAATATGAATATATCGAAATGAGCG